TTCTATTTTTTAGATTTTCTTTATGTTTTCTTTTTTGTCGTTTTTGGCGTGTTTTGTCCTTTTTACGCCGTTTTTCGTTTTTTTAACTCATTTTGTCGCTTTTGCATGACGCAGTTATTGCCGATTTTTTATTTTTTGTCGTCTTTTTTTCACCTTTTTTGTCGCTTTTACTATTGTCCCGTTTTTTTGCATTTTTTTTTTGTTATATTTTTGCCACGTTTTTTATAGCATTTTATAGTTGATTTTTTCAAATTTTGCATTTTTACGTCTATTTTTGTGGCTTTTCTCCATCTTTTTCAGCGCCTTAAGCCTTATTCATTTAATTTTTTCACTATTTTCCCTCTTTTTTATGGCTTTTTTGTCCGTTTTTTCTAGGCGTCTTTTTTCTTTATTGGTCCTTTTTCTCATCTTCTTTTTGAATCTTTTGTGACATTTTTCTTGTCGCCTATTTGTAGACTTTTATCATTCTTCTTTTTGGTTTTCTTTTTCGTGTTTTAAAGTGTTTTTGTCTCCTTTTTTTTATCTTGTTTTTTTGTCTTTTTTATCACATTTTTTATGCATTTCGTTGATTCCTATTTTTCTTTTTTTGCCTCTATTACGAATCATTTTTGTAACATTTTCTAGTTTTTCAACATTTTTTTATCTTACTTTACTGCCTTTTTTACTGCTTCCCTCCTTTTTCCATCGTCTCTTTCGCCTTTTATTGTCGCTTTTTTTCACCTTCTTTTTCTTGCCTTGTTCTAGACACATTTTTTATGCTTTTCTATCGTTTTGTTGTTGTTCCTTTATTCACTTTTTTCGTTTTTTTAGAATTTTACTGGACGTGTTCTTCTTCGTTTTTTTATGGTGTTTTTGTCCCCTTTCTTCCTTCGTTTTTTCGCTTTTTTATCTCATTTTTTCATTTTTTCGTCGTCTTTTTTTTTCACTTTTAATTCCTTTTTCTCTTGTCCCATGTTTTTGTTTATTTTGTCCCATTTTTTTGCCGCTTTAATTATTTTGCTCCTTTTTTATTTTTTTGTCGCTTTTTATCGTCCCAATTCTTTTTCTCCCTTTTTCTTTCCTCTTTTAGCGCTTTGCTTGTAGAAATTTTGCCGATTTTTTTGATTTTTAGAGTTTTTTAGAAGTTTTATTTTTCGTTTTGTTATCGTGTCTTTGCCCTCCTTTTTACCTTGTTTTTTCGTCTTTTTTTAATGGCATTTGTGTCGTTTTCTAAAAACACTTTGTATTCGTTTTTGTCTCTTGTTTATCGCTTTTTTTCACAGTTTTCCTTTTTTTGTAGTTTTTTTATATTCGCCTTTCACTTTTTTAGTGTTTTTTAACGGTTTCCTGCTCGTTTTTGTATTGACTCTTTCTTTTTTTTTGTTAATTTTTTTGACGTTTCCTTATTCGTCTTTTTTTATGGAGTCCTCTTTTTTAAGCCATTTTTCGTTTTTATCTTATTTTGGTGCTTTTTTGTGACGCATTTTTGACACTTCTTTTATTTCTTATCGTATTTTTTGTTGCTTTTTCTCTTGTCCCGTTTTTTGTTTTTTTTTGCGCACATTTTTTTGACACGTTTTTATGCCTCTATTTTTAATCGCTTTTTCACTTTTTGCATTTTTACGTTTCTTTTTGTAACATTTCTTCATCTTTTTTAGCGCTTTATTTATTTCATTTTTTCACTATTTTCCCTCTTCTTTATGGCTTTTTTTGTTATTTTTTAGTCTTCTTTTTATTATCGGTCTTTTTTTCGTTCTTCTGTTCGATTTTTTTTTCGTGTTATTTTTCGCATTTTTATAGTGTTCTTGTTTTCTTTTTCCCTTGGTTCTTCGGCTTCTTTATAGCATTTTTTTCTGTCGTCTTTTTTTGCTTTTTTCCGAAAATTCCGAAAATCCAGAAAAAATAGAAAATTTTGAAAGTCCAGAACGTCCAGAAAGTCCAGAAACACGTGTTCTTTTTCGTTTTTTGTCCCCTTTCTTACCGTGTTTTTTTGCTTTTTTGTCTTATTTTCTCAATTTTTTCGTCGTCTTTTTTTCACTCTTTTATTGCTTTTTCTCTTGTTCCATTTTTTATTTTGTTACCCCATTTTTTTAAGTTTCTTTTTTGTACTTTTTTTGTCGTTTTTCAGCATTTTTTTACAATATTTTGCTCCTTCTTTTATCGTTTTTTTGTCGCCTTTTATCGTCCCATTTCTTTTTCTACCTTTTTCTTTACCTTTGTTTTACAGCATTTTGTCGCTATTTTTCCGCTTCCATCCGAATGGAAAAGGGAATTATTTGTTGAATTTTATTTTTTTTAGGTATTCCCTGTTGATAAGGAATGTGAAATCCCTTTTGCCGTGTTAATCGAGAAAAATAGAAAAATATATTTGAAAAATTTTTCAAAAATTGTTAAAACGGAAAAAATTGTCTCTCATATCACGAATTTGAAATCATCCTTACAACCAGAAGTCCAGACGGCCAGAAATTCCTGAATATCCAGAAATTCGAGAAAGTCCAAAAAATAAAAATCAAGAAATTCCAAAAATCCAGAAAATCTAGAAAATCAAAAAAACCAAAAAATCCAGAAAATCCAAAAATAGAGAAAAATTCAGACAGTCCAGAAGTCCAGATAATCCAGAAAATCAAGAAAATCCAGAAATTTCAGAAAGTCCAGAAAATCCAAAAAATTCAAAAGTTACAGAAACTCCAGAAAACCCAGAAAATAAAGAAAATCCAGAAAATCCAGTAAACGTAAAAAGTATAGAAAATCTATAAAATCAAGAAAATCCAGTAATTCCAGAAATTCCAGAAAACCCAAAAGTCCAGAAGTCCAGAAAATCGGGAATATCCAGAAATTCGAGAAAGTCAAAAATATACAAAAATCCCGAAAATCCAGCAAAAATAGAAAATTCTGAAAGTCCAGAACGTCCAGAAAGTTCATAAAATCCAGAAAATATATAAAATTAAAAACATCCAGAAAATCCCAAAAACCCAGAAAACGCAAAATGTCCAGAAAAATAGAAAATCCATAAAATCCAGAAACTCCAGAAAGTCTAGAAATCTAGAAAGTCCAGAAGTCTAGAAAATCCTGAATATCCAAAAATGTTTAGTTTTCGTTTTGTTATCGCGTCTTTGTCCTCTATTTTACCTCGTTTTTTCGTCTTTTTTTAATGGCATTTGTGTCGTTTGTCTTCATTTTTGTCTGTTGTCTATCGGTTTTTCTCACAATTTTCCTCCTTCTTTTAACTTTTTTTTGTCTATGACCGTCGCGTTTTTTTCTGTTTTTTGTAGTTTTTTTATATTCGTCTTTCACTTTTTTAGTCTCTTTTTTTTAACGGTTTCCTGCTCGATTTCGTATTGACTCTTTCTTTTTTTTGTTAATTTTTTTGGCGTTTTCTTATTCTTTTTTTTTATGGAGCTTCTAATCCTCTTTTTTAAGCCGTTTTTTGTTTTTTTTTGCGTAAATTTTTCTGTCACGTTTTTATGCCTCTATTTTTAATCGCTTTTTCACTTTTTGCATTTTCACGTTTCGTTTTGTAGCATTTCCTCATCTTTTTTAGCGCTTTATTCATTTCATTTTTTCACTATTTTCCCTCTTTTTTATGGCTTTTTTGTTATTTTTTAGTCGTCTTTTTATAATCGGTCCTTTTTTCTTCTTCTTTTTAAATATTTTTTGCCACTCTTCTTGTCGCTTCTTTGTAGAGTTTTTTCGTTCTTCTCTTCAATTTTTTTTTTGTGTTCATTTTCGAATTTTTATAGTGTTCTTGTCTTCTTTTTCCCTTGGTTCTTCGTGTTTTTTGTAGCATTTTTATCGCTTTTTGATGACGCTATTTTTAAATCCTTTTTTTGTCGTCTTTTTTGCTTTTTTTGGCTTTGCTCCAATTTTTATTGCCTTTTTTCACATTTTTCCGCATTTCATTGGTTCCTAGTTTAATCGTCATTTCTCCATTGTTTTGCCTCTGTTACGATTCTTTTTGGTAACTTTTAACTTTTGTAGTTTTTCAACGTTTTTTTGGTCTTTCTTTACTCCTTTTTGACTGCTTTTCTTGTTTTTATTGCTTTCTTCACTTTTAATTGTCGCCTTCTTTCATCTCTTTTGTTATTTTTTTTTTGGGGATATCGGCGAATCGGTCACTGGTACGATGAGTGGTTTTAAGCACATTTTTTATGATTTGTTATTGTTTTTTTTTGTTGTTCCTTTTTTTGCCATTTTCGTTTCAATTTTAGCGTTCGCCTCGTCGGATTTTTTATTTTTTTTTTTAGAAGTCTACTGGACGTGTTCTTTTTCGTTTTTTTATATTGTTTTTGTCCCCTTTCTTACCGTGTTTTTTTGCTTTTTTGTCTAATTTTCTCAATTTTTTCGTCGTCTTTCTTTCACTCTTTTATTGCTTTTTCTCTTGTCCCATTTTTTATTTTGTTACCCCATTTTTTTGTTTCTTTTTTGTACTTTTTTTGTCGTTTTTCAGCATCTTTTTACAGTATTTTGCTCCTTCTTTTATGTTTTTTTTTTGTCGCCTTTTATCGTCCCATTTCTTTTTCTACCTTTTTCTTTACCTTTGTTTTACAGCATTTTGTCGCTTTTTTTCCGCTTCCATCCGAATGGAAAAGGAAATTATTTATTGTATTTTATTTTTTTTAGGTATTCCCTGCTGATAAGGAATGTCAAATCATTTTTGCCGTTTTAATAGAGACAAATAGAAAAATACTTTTTGAAAAATTTTTCAAAAGTTGTTAAAACGGAAAAAATTGTCTCTTATAGAAGAGTTCTCCCATATCACGAATTTGAAATCATCCTTACAATACCAAAAAATCAAGGAAAAAGGAAAATAATTAATTTAATTTTTCCAAAAAAAAAAATTATTTAATTATCAGTGACGTCATAGCTCGAGCAGCATCAACAAAAAACGTACCTGGAGTGAAAAGAGTATAATTTAAATAATATTTAGTTTTTATTGAACACAGCACACTAAATGGAAGACGCCCCACTTGAAAACCATGAGTTTAAACATTAACAACTTGAACCTAATTGCATCCCGACATATGGCGCCAGAAATCATGAACCCACTAAATCGTCTGCCGAACTCTCGCGCGAGAACCCCGCACTTCCGCTTATCAGATCCGAAAAACTTTCCCCGATTTCCCCGATAAACCCCGTCTGCAATTTTTCCCTGGCTCGGAAATTCGAAAGTCAGATTTAACGCGACACTCGAATCGCGTGTGGCTAATTAAGTGCATACCAATCCGGCGCCATCTTAAGTCATCTTAAATTGACCCACTCAGTTCACTTTGTTGTGGAAACAAAGTTGCGTTAAGTAATGTAATTGCTCGTTAAAAAATCACTAGGTGGATGTCCGAGCTGCGAAAGCGCTAATTGTTCCATGTTTTATTAACCCCAATTTCCGCCCCAAATTAAACCGATCATTCAAAATTAACGCGTTCTAAAAAATGCTGTGATTATGACATCTCGAAGTGAGTTATTCGTGAGAACGATTCTTTTAGTGGCGGTTGTTGCGAGTCATGAGGAGCCCGTCGAAACGGAACGACCCGCAGAAGGGCTCTTACCGACGCAAGATGGATACTATCTAGATGGCCTTAATGAAGCTTCTTTTGGAACTGGGTATGTTTACTATGGCAGATTATATTCGGGGGATGGAATTTCGGCGATATGGGCCATTGGGGGCTTTATTGCTAAATAAAAAGCGCTTTCTTTAATTAGGAAATTGTGTCTGAGTTTAGGGCCGAGCCCTTGGTGTGCCCTTCGAGCAACGTCATTTCGACGAGGTACAGGTGCAACGCGAATGGGCAGTGGGTGGACTGCACGAGGAAGCACTGCTGTAAGGACTACACCTTCATTGCAGGAAGGTAAGATTAAGATTAATCGTAGAAAAAATTGTCTGCGCTGCACGGAATTAATCGCTATTATCACACTCTTACGATGCTGTTTTATAACGTATAGCTGTGGGATCAATTTCACTTATTCTAGTCGCTTGAATTAGAAAATGAATTACGTTACCGCACCCATTTGTGTAATTTAGTAATTTATCTCACTCAGATGACTATAATAAGTTACATAATTAGCTATTTGTTGCCAAATCGTATATATAATTTGAATTAACGGATCATTATCACAACCGGCTGAATAAACAACGCAACTAAGGGCTCGTTTTGAGCAAATTTCATAGCGATGTGGTAATAATAGTTTTATCACACTCTAGTGGAAATAGCTGTTAGTGGATTGCGAAATACCAACTAAAACCAACGGCGTTCACAAAATTCGCTCCCTCGTGAAGTACATATCCAGATTTTTCGAAAAATGTTTTAATATTTCTAAAAATTGTCAAATGCTTGTTTGGCGATCCGTCAAAAATCCTTTTAGATAAGATAAATTCCATTTTGAAAAACTGAGCTTTCACAAAGTTGACTAGAAATTCACCAGAAATTGCGGAACATATATTTGACATGATAATTTGAAAAACATAGCTTGTTAACGGTGTACGTTGAAGATCTTCGAAGTATTCGTTTTCAAAGTCAAATTTAAAAAAAAATCAAAAAACTGTCATATTTAATTTTGGCAATTCCTGAAAACTAAGCAGTAGAAATTTTTGAATAAATGAGACCGAAAGTTAATTTCGGGGGTTTTCATCAGGAAAAGCTCCTTTAGATAATTTTCGGCGGTGCAGAAAAAAGTCAAAAATTACATAAAATTTCATTTATTGAAACATCGAGCTTTCCGAAAAATTGATTAAAATTCCACCAAAAATTCTGGAATATAGAAGTCTACAAGGTGATTCAAACAATATAACACGTCAGGGATGCTGGACTAACATTTTTGAAGTATTAGTTTTGAAGTTCATATTTTTAAAATGTTCAAAAATTGCCATTTTTCGTTTGAAAATTCCTCAAAAGTGGTACGAACTTTGCCACAGATAAAATCCAAAATCATTTCTAGAGGCTGAACTCTATAAATATCTTATTAGAAAGTCCAGAAAATTTAGAAAATCTAGAAAATCCAGAAAATCTATACACTTCAGAAAGTCTAGAAACCCAGAAAGTGCACAAAATAAAAAAAAATCAAAAAAACTGGATCCAGAAAAAATCCAGAAAATATACATAGAAAATCCAGAAAGTCCAGAAAGTCCAGAAGTCCAGAAAATTCAGAAAATCCGGAAAATCCAGAAAGGCGAGAAAGTCCAAAAAATGAAAAAAAAATAAAAAAAATTCAGAAAATCCGGAATATCCAAAAAGTCCAGAATATGTATAAAGTCCAAAAAATCCCGAATATCCAGAAATTCGAGTGTCCAAAAATTTAGAAAATAAAGTAAATAAAAAAATCGAGAAAATCCAAAAAATCCAGCAAATCCAAAAAATTCAGAAAATCCAAAATATCCAGAAAATCAAAAAAATCCAGAAAATGAAAAAAATCCACAAAATCCAAAAAACGCAAAAAGTCCAAAAAATAAAAATCAAAAAATTCCGAAAATCAAAAAATCTAGAAAATCAAGAAAATCAAAAAATGCAGAAAATACAGAAAAAATAGAAAATTCTGAAAGTCCAGAATGTCCATAAAATCCAGAAAATCCAGATAATCCAGAAAATCCAAAAAATAACAAAATTTAGAAAACGCAGAAAGTCCAGAAAAACGAGAAAATCCGGAAAATCCAGAAGGTCGAGAAAGTCCAAAAAATTAAAAAATATCCACAAAATTCAGAAAATCCAGAATATCCAAAAAGTCCAATAAACCAGAAAATCAAGAAAATCCAGAAAATCCAGATAATATAGAAAATCCAGAAAAATCCAAAAAATTCACAAAATTCAGAAAATCTAGAAGATCCGGAAAGCCCAGAAAGCCAAAAATTTAGAAAATCAAGAAAATCAAAAAATCCAGAAAATCCAAAAAATCCAGAAAATCCAAAACTCCAGAAAATCCAAAAAGTCCAGAAAATCAAAAAAATCCTAGAATCCAAAAATCTAGAAAATCAAGAAAATTAAAAAATCCGGAAAATACAAAAAAATAGAAAATTCTGAAAGTCCAGAACGTCCTGAAAATCCACAAAATCCAGAAAATTTAAAAAAATGCAAAAAATCGAGAAAACGCAAAAGTCCAGAAAATCTCGAATATTCAGAAATTCGAGAAAGTCCAATAAAACAAAAATCAAAAAATTCCGAAAAACTAGAAAATCCAGAAATTCCAGAAACTTCAGAAACCCCAGAAAGTCCAGAAATTCAGAAAATTCGGAAGTCCAGAAAATCCAGAAAGTTCAAAAAATAAAAAAAATACAAAAAAAATCCCGAAAATGCCGAAAACCTAGAAACTCCAGAAAATCCAAACAAATTTTAAAACTCCAGAATATCCAGAAAAAAATCCACAAAAACAAGAAACTCGCCAAAATTCCAAAAAATTTGAAAGCCTATGGAAAATCCAGAAAATCCAAAAAATTCAGAAAATCCATAAAATCCAGAAAACGCAAAAAGTGTAGAGAATCCAGAAAATCCAGAAACTCCAGAAATTCCAGAAAATCCAGAAAGTCCGGAATATCAAGAAATTCGAGAAAGTCAAAAAAATAAAAAAAATCCGAAAATCCAAAAAACAAAAGAAAATCCTGAATGTCCAAAACGTCCGGAAAGTCCAGAAAATCCACAAAATCCAGAAAATCCAAAAAATCCAGAAATTCCAGAAAGTCCAAAAAGTAAAAAAAAATTAAAACTCCCGAAAATACAGAAAATCTAGTACATAATTCCAGAAAATCCACAAAATCCAGAAAATCCAAAAAATCCAGGAAGTCCAAAAAGTCAAAATAATTTTAAAAATCTCGAAAATTCAGAAAAGAGAAAATTCAGAAAGTCCAGAATATCCAGAACATCCAGGAAACCAGAAATGCCATAAAATCCAGAAAATTTAGAAAATCCGCAAAATCAGGAAAATCCAGAAAATCCAAAAAATCCAGAAAATCCAGACAGTTAAGAAAATCGAGAAAGTCCAAAAAATAAAAAAAATCAAAAAATCCCGAAAATCTAAAAATATAGAAAATCCAGAAAGTCCACAAAAAATCCACAAAAACGAGAAAGTCGCCAAAATTCCAAAAAATTTGAAAGCCTATGGAAAATCCAGAAAATCCAAGAAATTCAGAAAATCCATAAAATCCAGTAAACGCAAAAAGTGTAGAGAATCCACAAAATCCTGAAACTCCAGAAATTCCAGAAAATCCAGAAAGTCCGGAATATCAAGAAATTCGAGAAAGTCAAAAAAATAAAAAAATTTCGAAAATCCAAAAAAGAAAAGAAAATCCTGAAAGTCTAAAACGTCCAGAAAGTCCAGAAAATCCACAAAATCCAGAAAATCCAAAAAATCCAGAAAATCCAGAAAGTCCAAAAAGTAAAAAAAAATAAAAATCCCGAAAATCCCGAAAATCCAGAAAATCTAGTAATTCCAGGAAATCCACAAAATCCAGAAAATCCAAAAAATCCAAAAAGTCCAAAAAGTCAAAATAATTTTAAAAATCTCGAAAATTCAGAAAATCCAAAATATCCAGAAAATCCAGACAGTCCAGAAAATCGAAAAAGTCCAAAAAATAAAAAAAAATAAAAAAATCCCGAAAATCTAGAAAATATAGAAAATCCAGAAAGTCCAAAAAAAATCCGAAAATCCAGAATATCCAAAATGTCCGAAATATCCAAAAAGTCCAGAAAATCCAGCAAATCCAGAAAATTCAGAAAATCCGAAATCCAGGATATCCAGAAATTCGAGAAAAATCCAAAAATAAAATAAAAGTCAAAAATTCCGAAATCTGTAAAAAATGCTTTTAAATCATTTTCGACGATGTTCGAAAACAATCAAAAATTCCATAAAATATTGTATTGAAAAATTGAACCTTCAGAAAAATAGCCCAAAATTCACCAAAGATTCTGGAATATAGATCTGGACTAGGTAAATCGAAAAACATAGCGCGTTAATGAGCCAGGACTAAGATTATCAAGGCATGTGTTCTTTTTGAAAACATTCAAAAAATGGCCATCTCTCGTTTGGAAATTTTTAAAAAGTGGTACGAACTTTTTTAAAAATAAAACCAAAAATAAGTTCTAAAAGTATTCTAGAAGTATTCTAGAAATTTTCGAAGAAGTGAAGCCAAAAGTAAACATCAAATTGAGATAATAATTTCGATGGTACTCGAAAAAAGGGAAAAATTTCATAAAATCTCCTCTTGAAAAATTGAATTTTTGGAAAAGTTGCCTAAAAATTCACCAAAAATTGTGAATTTAATTTGGCGATTCCTGAAAAATAGTTGACATTTTCGAAGAGAGGTAAATTTTGAAACTTGACATCTGCAAAAACTTTTTGATAATTTTCAACCGTACTGTAAAACTTTAAAACTTTCATAAAGTGTCATAACAAAAAATTGTTCTTTTGGAAAGTTGAACGGATAGAGATATTGAAATTTTGTAAATGCCATTGTTTTTAGCTTGAAGGGGAAAGCTTAATTTAGTACACTGCAAAAATGACGCACAACTTTATAAAGAAGAAATTTACGAAATTTAGTAGTACCCTAAAATGAATAGATTTTTTGCAGTTGGAATCTTATGTTTTCAGATTAAAATTTTTAATTCTATTTTGGTAATTCTGGAAAAATTGTAGAAACCGAAAATTCATAAAATACACGTTTGGGGCTGTTACTTTATACAATTTTAAACCTATTTACTATTTACAATTCTGAGTTGACCTCATTACATTTAGTTTGTTTATATCGTAGATTTCGATCCGATCGAATTTCGAGACGATCGAAGTCGTCAAACCCACTTTAATCTACGGGCGTTTATATCACGGAAAACAGTCCGTTCGATCCACTGATTTGTAATTTGAAATTGGT